TTCAGGAGAACTGTGATGACCGGTCTATTGATAAAAACCATCAACAGTCCTCTCCCTCTCCTAGCTTTGACATAACGGAAAAAAGGAACAAAACAATACAACTATAAAAGAGTGAAAACCTTTATTTCACCACATGCCTAATTGCCATCACCAAAGATGTTTCGTTTCGTAAGTGGGAATTTGATCTGAATCAAACAAAGGAAAGTGTCTTTCCTAGAGCGCGACGTCCTATGCCCGAATATACGCTAGCTACGTTCAAATTACTCTGAGTGTGTTCTTGTTATTTTAATAATATGCGAACGAGAGCTAACTTTTTGAAATCCAGCCTACTACTTACAAAATGTTTACATGAATGACAAAATGACACATACTATTTTTCACTTCAGCGAACCAATGAAGTTGTCTAAATTGTATTCTGTTTCATACTGTTTCTCGTCCCATAGCTCTCCCAAATTTTCAATCATAGTTTTGAGCGAAGTCTTCCCAGTTGCATTCGACTGTTGTGCGCTTGGTTTTTCTCTCTTCTTTTCTTGGTCGACTGAAAAGAGATCCAGGAGTTGTCCAGTATCCATGGTCAATAGGCTTGAGTTGTCTTGCGAGATCACTGTGTTGGCGATGTTCAGTTTAAACTTCTGGAGTCCAGCAGAAAAAAAAACGTTCGACTTGAAAACTCAATTTATAAAATATCTAAGTGTATAGTATGTTGTCACTTGACAATTAGGTTTAGAAACGAGCGGACAATGAGAATGTCTTTCATAAGTTTGAGAACAAAGGAAGACGCGAAAGAGGTGTTGACTGTTCTATCCACCTTGGGGAAATTGGAAAGCTGACTACAAGTTGTTATTAAAAACTGGATCACTGGATAATGCAATTTAAGAGTTTTCATTGGCTTAGCCATCATGAATTATGAGTCATCACGCGCGCGCATGAAGACGAGTTAAATCGGAAGTGTTTTTATACATTGTAACATTCCGTTTTTCTTACAAAATAAAGTTAGGAATATTTATTTATAGTTTGAGCCATTTTTGATAAAACGGTCAATCTACTCGCCCTTGTTAGATATGAGATGATTATCGCCGACGAGGCCCGTCATCTCATATCCAACGCGCGCTCGTGGAATAATTGTGTATTAGACGTTATTCCTTCATAAATAAACTTTTACCGCTGCGTCAATGGGCAAGTGAGACACTTACATTAAAAAAAAGTGGAAAAACGTTTGAGAATCTGACTTTTCAAGCGTCACCCGCTTTCGGAAAAAACTTAACGAGCGTTAATGTTAGTCCTATCTCAGGATATCTAAATGGCTTAAAGAAGGAGGCTTCTCGTCGAGAGTGTAACGTAAAAAATAAACCTATTTGCACTGTGCTCTATGATTCAAATAGTGCTGCTTTAAAACCTACCCCATAATCTTTTCCTCGAGTGTTCCCCGTGTAATCAATCGGTACACGTTTACAACCTTCTTCTGTCCAATACGATGAGCTCGGTCCGTGGCCTAGAAAGATGATCGAAGCAATCAAGAAAAGGCAACTGATCGCATCTACCAAAAACAAAGCTTGAGCAAAGTTGGTGAAAATCGGAATATACAGGGGGGAGGGGACAGGTTCAAAAGGTTGGTGGTTACGTACTTGTAGGTCCTTAATTGGGTTCCAGTCGTGCTCCACAAAGATGACCGTATCGGCACCAGTCAAATTCAATCCCAGTCCCCCAACATGTGTCGTCAACAATAGAATGTCGATTGAGGGATCGTTGTTAAATCTAAGGATAAAATAAGTCTCTAAGTAACAGAAAAGCTGTTAAACGTCGCGTTTATTGTTTGGATACCAGACCATCGTTTCCTCCCTTTGTTCCGCGAGATATTGGACCATGGCCAATAACCGTAACCGAAAAATCTCAAATGAAAGAATTCTCACCTTTGTACGAGCGAGTGACGCGAGCCCGCAGGCGTACTTCCATCTAGTCTGAGGTATGTCACTGTAGGCATATGTTTTCTGCGTGAATAAAGCAAACTGAATAAGAAGCAGGCTAAGTTTCAAACCTTTACATCTTTCCACTCCCAAAGACTGAATATTAAAGTGAATATTTACCACTCCGACAATTCACTTGGTATTAAATGAAGAAGAGTTTGATAAAATGATACCTTGTCCTTGCAACACGTCGTACAAATATAAACTGTTTTAAACGTGTTCGATCACCACAGCGACAACATGAGACGTAGCGGCGAGGTACTACCCACGAACAAGTACACATAGAGTCTTGTTTTGGTTATTGTCAATTGGACAAAACAAAGACGACTGCAGCAATATCAATAAGCATGGCGAAAAAAAAAATTTAAACAAAAACAAAAATATTGCTCTTACTTAAGAAGATCATTTTTAACGATGTCTAACATGCTCTTTAACTAACAGAACAACAGCATCCGGTGTTGGGACACTACAGGGTCTGAAGACAGATCACTGGAGCCTGAGGATGCTGCCTGTAGATCAATTTGTAGACAGAAAGAGAGAAAAAGATGACTTCATTTTTCACCTCTAAGCAAAGTATGCTGCTATCAGGGTGACAGAATGCGCAGTAGTTTTTATGAACTGGTTACAAGGAAAGGATGAAAACAGAGAAGACCTTACATTAAGTGAGGGATTTTATGAATTTCATTGAAGTAAGAAACCGCCATTTTTGAGAAACTCAGAAATCAATGGTACTCTAGGCGTGCCAGTCTAAAAAGAGTGCTTGCAAAAGTTCAAGGTCTATCCGTAAGCAATCCGTTAAAATGTAATTGTTATGGTAACCGCACAATGCCTTGAAGTTACACTAACAAATAACCTGACTTACTTGAGAGCAACAAGTTTGGCAGCATGCTGAATTTCCTGGATGGAGACATGTTGTTGATGTAATTGGTCCATAACTTTGGCGTATTCTGGATGATTGGCAGTGAGCACCAAAAGCGGGTGGTTGTATAGCTTGCGCAGGTACTGAAGAGCCTGGGAATTATTTACATGTCAGATTGAATGAATATTCATACTGCATAAGGTTATTTGTGGTAAGCAGTGAGGACAGACTAGTGTCCATGATCAAATTCACAATTAAACGAGTAAAATAAACGTTGTATGGCAGTAAGAATGAAATCAATACTAACCTGGAAAACGTGAGGATTATCTTTGCTTGCTTTCTCGTTTTTGTTTTCTTCATCGATGTGAGAAACTGTTTCCTCCAAACCTTTCTTGACCTGAGACTTGGCGAAGTCTTCATATAACTGAACCTGTAAAACGAAAAAACATTTTTCTTGAGTGAGAGGAACGATCTGGAAGGCAATTTTCGGAAATTCTCCAAAAAAAATACCACTAAATACAAGGTGGAGATCCTTGAAACTTTCGCACAGCTGCTTGAATATTCATATCCTGTCGACAACTATCAAGTATTGTCGAAAACTATTATACATCGCCCCAGTGCGCACTTTGATTGTTGGCCATAGCAACAGACTGACCTGTAGCGGACTCAGTTCACAGTAGTAATCTTGAATGATCTTAGGTGGAAGATCTTGCAGTACATCTTCTTTCAGGCGCCTCAATAGGAATGGTAAAACCTGACGATGAAGGGCCTCCATAGCCAAGGCCCCTAAGAATGGGACACATGTGTCAATACAGACCACGGTATCACCTCATTTATGATCCACAACGCCATGAAATCTTACTGAAAGGCGAACAGTCTACTCCTAGAGGACCTTCCATTTTCTACTTATTTACCAAATCGTTACCGAGGAGGGACAACTCGCTTTCCTTAGGGCGTGGTCTTTGGGATAAAAAGGGTGAAGCCGGCGGAAAATCAAGGGTAAAACCATCCAACATTTTCTATGATAGCTGAAAAGCGAGAGCGTCTTGCAGGGGCCGGTTTCACTTTTTTTCTGGTGGGGCACAACATCTATTGTCCTTTTTGTTCAACAAACGTTAAGCCGAATTTTAGACTGCTGAAGTGGCTAACACATGTAACTAGCGGCTTCGTGGAACTCTTGAGTGGCGGAAAGAGGATTGGAGCTCTGACGTTCATTTAAATGTTTCTACTGCCTTATTTTTCATCACGGACCAAAAGCCACGCAGGCTTTGTGTTAGCTACTTAGTACTCAATTCACGGACACTCACCAGCTTCTTGCTCCTTAGAGGACGATTTTGCGTCTCTACTCTGTAGAATTGGTTTACCAAACCGAGACTGAAACTGCTTTTCACTTCCGAGAAAACCAGGCATTAAGAAATCAAACAATGACCACAGCTCCAGGACATTATTCTGAAAATAAAACATAAGCATGTCAACGTAAAGCACCGTATCAAATCTTTACAAGACTGAACGAAGTAAAGCAATACAAAAAACTACAAAATTACGCTACTATACGGAAAGATAACTCATAACAAAGGAGTATGGTGAGAATAAAGCAAAAATGAACGACACATTAGAACGAGCAATGTCTCAATTGTCTCAATTTTTAATGTTGTGACGTAGAATTTTTCAGAAACATGAACAACGTTTTGCTGTTCGACAGAAGCTGCTGACATTTCCTAACAGTATACGAGGCAGAGGAAAACATTTATCCACTTCTTTGTTTGTAAACGAAGAGGACTTTAGGATCTACATGTGGAACAACTGTTGATGCATTGACTAGTCATCTTCCCATATTTAAATCGCATAGCTTCATTTGCTTAATAAAAGCCCCTCAATTCGTACTTGGATTGGTGTTCCCGAGAGTATAAGTCGATGACTGGCTCGTAGCTGCTTAATGACTTTAGCAAGCTAGAAGGAAAGACAAAAAAAATCAAATTGAAAAACTGGAACTTAAGCCGCCCACCACGACCAATGTCGACATCAATGACGATGCATTACAAAGAGCTTGTTTACGATTCCGTCCTAACTGCTCAAAAGGGCTGATACTTGTAGGAACTTCTTACCATCCGCCTTTAATTTGAATACTGGACTACATCGCTACCGTTCCATTTCAGACGACTCGAAATCATTCTCAAGCAACAACCATCAATGAAACTTCAATGATAAAAAAGAAAACCTGTTTAAGTTCTGTCAGAGAGATAACATGTAGAGAATGCCAAATAAACGATATCTTCGTCTCGACCAGTTTTTTTTTCCTGTCAGGTCTCCTCAACGTTTGCTCTCTAGAGGAAACACCAAGACGTAACCTACCTTTGTTTTTCCATTCTTTATAATGTGGCCCTCGTCAAGGACACAGTAGTTCCAGTGCACTGATCTGTTAGGACGAAACAAACGAGACATTCCGTTGAAATAACTGCTGCGCCTTAAGAATGTGTAATTTCATTTACCCTTCGGTAACTCTCCTTACCTGAAGAATTCACCATCGTTTCTT